CCAGGGCTCAGGGCCCTGGGAGAGGGCGGGGGTTGGGAGGGGGTGAGATTAGCTCTGCCGGAGCCACGCAGGGAGGAGGAGGGACTGAGAGGCAGAGGCGGGCGGGCCGGGAGAAAGCGGGAGCCAGCGGGAGCCGCGCTGCTTTCACAGCCGAGCTGGGCCTGGCCTCTGCTCTCCCTCCTCGGCCCCAGCTCCAAGCCGGCGGCGGTGAGTACTGAGTCCGGGTTGCACGGGGAGATGCTGGGCCTCAACTCAGTTTCAGGAGCCTGAGTAGCAGGGTTGCTGCTCCTGACCCCGGTCCCTACCCTGCATTGCCACAAGAGGCCCCTTTACCCCCTGAGGGTGCCTCCTGGGCTGGACAGAATCTGTCACCACGGGGGGGAGAAGGGTCTGGTGCAGTCTCCCCCTCCAGGGACCAGTGACTGGTGGGGGTTGGGAGAGAGGGTGTGTGTCCCTGCTTCAGTATGGGTGTGAGTGTGCACCTGTATTTGTGTGTCATTGTGACCAGTGGGTCTCTGTATCTGATATGCCTATGTATCTGTGAGCATTAGAGAATGAGGGTCCCTCTGTGTGTATCTGGGTATCTCTTTGTGTATAAAACAAGCATGTGCCTTTCCATGAGACACATAGTTGTTATGACTGTGAGACTGTGTGAAGGTGTGTCTCTGAGCAATGTGTATGTGTGCCTGTCTGCGTGTCGCCTCTGAATGTGTTTAACTGTATGTGACATTTTGGTCCTTAAGTATGTGTGTGTGCATGAGTGTGTGTACCTATATTAAGAACAAAAATGTCCCTTTCCCATCCATCATGTATGTATTCAGGGTAGCGGCTTCTGTTCAGGCCTTTTTCTTCCCCTTCACCCTATGCCTTTCAGCTCCTTGTGGTCCCTAGATAATCCCCCTTCTCCAATTCCTTTTTCCTCTCTTTCCAGGGGGCCTGAATTGGGGCCTCCATAAGAGGAGCTAACTGTGGGGCACGCATGGCTGCATGATAGTGATGGCTGGCTGACACTCCTAGCCCAGAGGGTGGGGGCACCAGTCTTCCCCTCCCCCCACACCAGTAGTACCTACAAAATGCCACAGAGACTCCAGGCTCACTCAACTTCCTTCCTTCCAACATAGCTTCCTTCCCCCCACCCCCCAGGTGATGCTCAGGGTTCCCAGGCAGGAGGAGAGAACCCAGGGTCCTTTTGGAGGGAACAATCTTTTCTCCTCAGGCCTCCGTGGAAGTAGCCCAAGCAGGAGGCCTGATTACCCCCAGGGGAGGGATCAATGATGCCACAGTCCCAGGGTGGGCTAGGCCCCTGGTGCTCAGTGGCCCCAGCCAGCTTTCCCCTCCCTGTCTCTGCTCTCTTGTCCATCCAACTCCCTGGCGGTTCACCCCCTGCTCCCCTTCCTCTCTTGCAGGCCTGTCAGAAGAGCATGCTGCCCCCTCACTCCCCGCCTGGCCTCGCCATCCCTGCCCCCCCAGCCTGACCCCCGGGCCCCAGCATGGCCCAGGGTGCCATGCGCTTCTGCTCTGAAGGTGACTGTGCCATCTCCCCGCCACGATGCCCACGCCGCTGGCTCCCCGAAGGCCCTGTGCCTCAGAGTCCCCCAGCCAGCATGTATGGCAGCACGGGCTCCCTGCTACGGCGGGTGGCAGGTCCAGGTCCCCGAGGCCGGGAACTGGGACGTGTGACAGCACCCTCGACACCCCTGCGTGGCCCCCCTTCACCCCGTGTTGCTCCCTCACCCTGGGCACCCTCTTCACCCACTGGGCAGCCTCCACCAGGGGCCCAGAGTTCCGTAGTCATATTCCGCTTTGTGGAGAAGGCCAGCGTGAGGCCACTGAATGGGCTACCTGCTCCCGGAGGCTTGAGTCGGAGCTGGGACCTGGGTGGGGTCGCTCCTCCCAGGCCCACTCCAGCTCTTGGGCCTGGCTCCAACCGCAAGTTGCGGCTGGAGGCCTCCACTTCAGACCCACTCCCAGCCGGAGGAGGTTCAGCTCTGCCTGGCAGCCAGGGCCTTCTACACGGGCCGCCAGCCCCACCTCAGGTCGGGGCAGATGGTCTTTACTCCTCTCTCCCCAATGGGCTGGGGGGGCCCTCTGAGCACCTGGCCACACTATTCCGAGGACCTGCTGACACTGGACTCCTGAACCAGGTATGCGACCTCCCTTGGGCTCCCTGGAACCCCAGAGTCCTACGGAAGGGGCAAGACTGGGCTCCGTGGCCATTTTGGCCCCGTGGGCTACTCATTGAATCCTTCACTCCTATTCTAAATCTCTTTCTTGCCCTCTGGGCTTGTCTCTCTGTCTCTGCACCTCCATCTCTGTCCCTGAGTGGTTTTCTTTGTGTTTCTATCCCATCTTCTTTTGTCTTTGCATGTCTGGCTTTATCTCTGGGTGTCTTCTACCTCTCCCTCCTTGGCTTAGGGAGACACCTGGTCCTCACCCCGGGAAGTCTCCTCTCATGCCCAGAGAATTGCTCGAGCCAAATGGGAATTCTTCTATGGCTCCTTGGCACCCCCCAGCTCAGGTAAGGCTGGGACTGGAGCAAGGGGAATGGGGCAGGTCCTTCTCAGCACCGAGGTGTCGTAGGGAGTCCTCCTTTAAACCTCCCCCAGCCTTTCCTGGGCTCCTGTGTCAGCTAATGCTTCCTCAGGCCTGGGGCCCGTCTTCCCATATGTGCTAGGATGGAGGGGTTGGGGATGATGGCTGGGTTGGGCACCTGCAGGAAGCTGGGTAGTGGAAGGAGGGGATGGGAGGAGACCAAGGATCAGTCCTTAGAGTAGAAAATGAACTCCAATGGTACCAGGAACAAGCTGAGTTTGTAGCAGGAGGAATGGTGGTGAGACAGTGAAAGAACCGCCTGCCAACATGAGGCAGTGGGGATGACTTCCTTCCTAGAACAGTCAGGGCAGGAAGCTGACCTGGATACCCTCCTGACCCGGATGCCTGTGCACACTGCAGGTGCTAAGCCCCCAGAGCAGGCCCCCCCATCTCCACCTGGGGTGGGCTCAGGGCAGGGCTCTGGGGTGGCTGTGGGGCGAGCGGCCAAATACTCCGAGACCGACCTGGACACGGTGCCCCTGAGGTGCTACCGAGAGACCAACATCGATGAAGTGCTGGCTGAGCGGGAGGAGGCTGATTCAGCCATCGAGAGTCAGCCCAGCTCTGAGGGCCTGCCTGGCACCGTCCGCCCACCTGCCCCACGTCCGGGCCCATGCCTTGGCCCTCATGCCAGCCTGAGCAGTGGCGATGAGGATGAGGCAGGTGGGGAAGAGGATGTGGACGATGAGGTGTTTGAGGCCTTGGAGGGGGCACGGTGAGTGGGGGAGAGGGGGAGGACAGTGGCTGCTCCTTCCCACTGGCCCAGAGGCAGAGCTGGGGTCAATGGGACTGGAATAGAGATGAGGGTGGGGTTGGGAGAGTCAGGACCAAGCTGGTGGTGCCAACAGCATGGTGTGGCAGGAGACTCTGGACAGAGGCCTGAGGCCTGGTAGAATACTAGAATGGGGGGGGGAGGGGCATCTGCAAGAACCCAGGAGGAGAGGGGGTAGCCAGGATAGAGGAGGAAAGGTGTTCTGGTGAAGAAAGGGCTGAGTGAGAGGCCAGAGGCCAGAATTAAGCCTGGGGTGTGGGAGCATCAATCCATACCCTGGATCTTGGTGGGAGAATGGGGAGTGTGGGGGTTTCTTCTTCATCTCACACCCCACTGCAGCCTGGAGCCTCATCTCCTTCTCCTAAGATGTTGCCAGAAATAGAAATGGGATGGCAGGAGGGGAGAGGATCAGGGAGAAGGAGGAGAAAGGGAGATTAGCACGGAGGGAGAGAGGAAGGGGATTGGTTGCTGGGGATGGATAGGGATGGCGTGCCCCAAGGCACTAAATAGCTTGAAGGACCTGTTGTGGGGAGCCCCTATCCAAATGGCTTTTTAAGGGGTTTGGGGGACTGTGAAAAGCAAGTGATAAGCCCCTTTGTAGGGTCAGTATGAAAGTTCAATGAAATGCTACCTGAGAGTTGTCCTCTGGGCCCCTGATGGGAGATTTTCCCTGCCCCTGCAGGCCAGGCACCCAGATGCCTCACCTGGGGCCTCTCAAGTCACCTGTGCCCTTCCTACCTGGGACCAGCCCCTCGGCCGACGGGCCTGACTCTTTCAGTTGTGTGTTCGAAGCCATCTTGGAGTCACACCGGGCCAAGGGCACCTCCTACACCAGCCTTGCCTCCCTGGAGGCCCTGGCCTCACCTGGCCCAACCCAGAGCCCCTTCTTCACCTTTGAGCTGCCTCCCCAACCCCCCATCCCCCGGCCTGATCCCCCTGTTCCCGCCCCACTTGCCCCTCTTGAACCGGATTCTGGTACCAGCTCTGCTGCTGATGGGCCTTGGACACAGAGAGGGGAGGAAGAAGAGGCAGAGGCTGCAGCCAAGCAAGCCCCAGGGAAGGAGCCCCCTAGTCCCTGCCGCTCGGAGGACAGCTTTGGGCTGGGGGTGGCACCCCTGGGAAGGTGAGTGATTCCTTTGGTCTCAGATTCAAGGCCCCTGGGGCTCTAGGAACAGCTGTTCAAAGGGACAGAGCCTGAGTGCGAAGAGGTAGTTTGCATTCCTGACCCCTGATAGGCCTGGTTAGGGAATGCAGATGCCCTGTTTCCCACCTGGAGGACTTTCCACTGACTGTGAGGGGGAGCCCCTTAGAGTCCCCGCCCCCCTTGGTCTCAGATCCAGTGACTTGAGAAATCACGATTCAGAACTGAAGGATGTCCTCTCCAGGAGGGCCCCTCCCTCCCCAGACAGAGCCGGCCACCTGCCTAGAATTCTTGTGACCTAACACCCATCCAGCCTGGAGGCTTCTTCCAAAGATGCAGCCACCAGCCTCCCCCATCGCTTCCCTCCCAAGCCACCTCCCCCTCCAATCAGGAGTCTCTCACCCTTATCCAGGAAGTCCATTCATCAGTCTAACCTTTCTGCTCTCTCCTCTGCCAGCTACCCTCTCAGTCATGGAAGCCATGGCAACAGGAGGGGGTGGCCAGAGATACAGCGTTGCCTAGCAACCAGGAGTTTCCGGCCTCTGTCTCTGGGTGACAGGTGGCTTTGCAAGTAGAGCAGCTGGGGTGGGAAGGGAAGGAAAGGAGGAGACAGGAGATGAGGGGGAGCACTTTGACCGGCAGTCCCCTTTACCCCAGAACCTGCTTCTTTGTGAGTAGAAGCGAAGGACCAAGGAGGAGGCTCCTCTCCCTAACGGGTGGGAGGAGGAAAGATATAGGAGTGGGAAGCTGTCCTGTTGCCCTCAAATTTTTGACCGTCTACTGTTCTCCCCTGACAGCCTGTGTTGACCCTTGTCCATATCCTTAGAGATATAAGACTATGTCCGAGAAGGAACAGAGTGGTGATGGGGAATCTATGTGCAACAGCAAACTTAGGGGACTTTGTGGGAGAATGGGGAGTGTGGGGCTTTCCTCTCCGTCTCACACCCCACTGCAGCTTAGAGCCTCATCTTCTCCTTCCTTGGGGAAGCAGCCAGAATTCCCACAGCAGCAACATGGATGTGGGTTAGACTTGAGGCAGGACTTCCACAGAGAGGTGGCAATGATGGAGGGAGCCTGAACAATCCCCTCTGGAGAAAAGAAAATGTCTTCCCCATGTCCCGGTCTCCCCTCCTGTCATCCTGCTCTGGAGGCAGAGGAAGGGTCTGGATGGCCCCTGAGAACCTGCCTCATCTCTGAGCTGGTGTTCTGCCCTGGCAGCGAACCACCCTTGAGCCAGCTGGTATCTGACTCAGACTCAGAGCTGGACAGCACAGAGCGGCTGGCCCTGGGAAGCACGGACACCTTGTCTAATGGGCAGAAAGCAGACCTGGAGGCCGCGCAGCGCCTGGCTAAGAGGCTGTACCGACTGGACGGCTTCAGGAAGGCTGATGTGGCCCGGCACCTGGGCAAGAAGTAAAACCACTGGGCTGGGAATGAGAGGGGGCAGGAGGGATGCATCCTGTGGGCAGCACCTCCACATCCCCTCTATCTAATGCCCCCAGGTTTCTCAGTAACCCCCCCATTTGGCTCCTTGACACTTCCCCTTGAGACTCTCCCTGTCTCTCTACCCTGCCCACAGCAATGACTTCAGTAAACTCGTGGCTGGAGAGTACCTCAAGTTCTTTGTCTTCACGGGCATGACTCTGGACCAAGCTCTCAGGTGGGTGGTGAGCCCTCTGAGTGCAGCCCCAGCGCTCCAGGCCTGGTGTGCAGGGCCTTAGCTCTGCCTCCTCTGAGCCCCTGCACCTCCCCTAAGCGGCCCTGACATCACCCTTCCCAAGAGCCAGGGCTACCTGGTAAGGGGGCCTTGGGTGGGGGTGACGTGCTCCCTCTTCCCTCCTCTCCAGGGTGTTTCTGAAGGAGCTGGCCTTAATGGGTGAGACCCAGGAACGGGAGCGCGTGCTGGCCCACTTCTCCCAGAGATACTTCCAGTGCAATCCTGGAGCTCTGTCCTCAGAGGGTGAGGAGGCCAGGGACAGGGCTTTCCTGGCTGGTCACTGAGGCAAATGGGCACTGTGTGTGTGCCTAGGTGCATGGGTATGTGTGCAGGAATGAATGAATGCACAAGCTTGCAGGCATGTGAGCACACATGTGTGCAGACCATGCTGATCTGGCGACATGGATAATGCACAAGCTTGCAGGCATGTGAGCATACATGTGTGCAGACCATGCTGATCTGGCGACATGGATGTGGAACTGTGCATGTGGCAGGCATATTGTTAGGGTCTAGTGTGTGTTGTGAAGAGGCAGGTGACAGGTGTGTTTGCATACCATTGTCCACATATATGTGCCAAACAGTGCTTGGCTTGAGTGGGGATTCTGTTTGGCCGCACTGGTCCGCATAACTGTGTGAGGCACACTTGTTTGTGTTGCGTGCAGAGACACAGGCATGTGGGTGTTCGGGGGCACGCAGTGGACAGCCCCAGCACTTGAGAGAGCTAGGGAGGGTGGCCTGAGAAAAGGGTGAGGTCCCTTCTAAGGGATCTGCTGGAAAAGAGAAATCTTTGCTGAGGTCTGGCTCACTAATGGGCTTCAGGACTTACAAAAGTGTGGTTGTGGGCCAAAGGGGTCCCGGAGGGGGGCAGGGGATGAGCTGGAAGTCTGAGTAAGACAGCGGTGGGAAGAGTCCCAGGGAGGCTGAATGTCAACTCTGCCCTAGACGGTGCGCACACGCTGACCTGCGCCCTCATGCTACTGAACACCGATCTCCATGGCCACGTGAGTGGGGTATGGCGGGAAGGAGCCGGAAAACAGACCCTATCCAAGACCTCAAGGCCTGGAAGGCCAAGGGCCACCCGGGTCCACAGGCCTCTGTTCCCTCCCTTAGAACATCGGGAAGCGCATGACCTGCGGAGACTTCATTGGGAACTTGGAGGGCCTCAACGAAGGCGGCGACTTCCCCAGGGAGCTGCTCAAGGTGGGGGGCGGGCAGGGGCAGGGATAGGGACCTGTGGGCGGGTGTCCGAGAAAGGCGAGGTGAGG